TACTACTACTACTACTACTACTACTACTACTACTACTACTACTACTACTACTACTACTACTACTACTACTACTACTACTACACTAATACTACTACTACTACTACTACTACTACTACTACTACTACTACTACTACTACTACTACTACTACTACTACTACTACTACTACTACTACTACTAGGCAACGGACCGGCCTCCAGGCCGGGGCCGGTCCGAACGGACCGGCCTCCAGGCCGGGAGTTTTCCGACGGTTACCCTTAAGGTGGTCCATGGAGTTTTCTGGCGGGAAACGAAATCCGACAAAAAATGTATTGAGCCGCCCACGTATGTGTTGCGCAACTTGCGGTTTGCTGCGCAACACATATGTGGGCAATGGCGGGATCCGGCCTGGAGGCCGGTCCGTGGACCCCCTGGCCTGGAGGCCGGTCCGTGGACCCCCTGGCCTGGAGGCTGGTCCGTGGGGCTGGGTGGGGGGAGACAAAGAAAGGGAAGGAGGATGAGGAGAGGGAAAGGGAGAAGGAGGTGGAGGAGATGATGCCATGCAAGTCTCCTCGATCTTTGATCTTCGAACGATGCTGGATCTTTGATCTTCCGACCCCCATCTCCACCCTCTCCAACCCCCTCCTACCCTTCCTCTCCCCTCGTCCGCGTCCCACTCTCATCATCATCATCATCATCATCATCATCATCATCATCATCATCATCATCATCATCATCATCATCATCATCATCATCATCATCATCATCATCATCATCATCATCATCATCATCATCATCATCATCATCATCATCATCATCATCATCATCATCATCATCATCATCATCATCATCATCATCGTCATCGTCATCGTCATCGTCATCATCATCATCATATTATCATCGGCATGATGGTCATCATCGTGACCATTAACGTCGTCCTCGTCACCGTCATCGTCGTCATCATTACCATCGTCAGCATAATCGCCGTCATCGTATTTGCCATCATCAGCATCATCGCAGCATCATCATCATCATCATCATCATCATCATCATCATCATCATCATCATCATCATCATATCATAATCATAATCATCATCATCATGCGCCGAAAATGGCGTGAGACCAGAGGGGGCCACCTTCGCTGGAGCTGTAGCTGACGCTCCCTGTGGGGCAGCATCCTCGCGAGAGGTGCGGCGAAATTTGGCCAGAACCAGAGAGAGTCACCCTCGCTGGAGCTGTAGTTGGAGCTCCGTGTAGGGCGCGCTCCTCGTGAGGGGTGCGCCGAAAGGGGCGTGGAACCAGAGGGTCACCCTCGCTGGAGCTACAGGCTGGAACTCCATGTGGGGATGGATCTTCGTGAAATCCGCGCCGAAATGGGCGAAGAGCCCTGGCCTGGAGGCCGGTCCGTGGACCCCTGGCCTGGAGGCTGGTCCGTGGGGCTGGGTGGGGGGAGACGAGGGAATGGGAGGAGGAGGAGAGGGAAAGGGCAAGCCAGGTGCGCGCGCGTCATATCTGACGTCCTACCCCTCCCTCCCATCCCTTACCATGGCGCTGATTTTCTCTATCCGCGGACTAGTGGGTGGTGGTGCGCGTGCGTGCGTGCGTGCGTGGGTGCGTGGTTGTGGTGGTGGTGGTGGTGGTGGTGGTGGTGGTGGTGCTGGTGGTGGTGGTGGTGGTGGTGGTGCTGCTGCTGGTGGTGCTGGTGGTGCTGGTGGTGCTGGTGGTGCTGGTGGTGGTAGTGGTGGTGGTGGTGGTGGTGGTGGTGGTGGTGGTGGTGGTGGTGGTGGTGGTGGTGGTGGTGGTGGTGGTGGTGGTGGTGGTGGTGTGGTGTGGTGGTGTGTGGTGTGTGTGTGTGCGTGTGTGCTCGTGTGCTGTGGCATGGCACGGGAAATGACGCCAGCGCTGCAGCGGGAGCACGAGCCGAAACGGGCGGAAGCGCGGAAATGAGGCCAGCGCTGCAGCGGGAGCACGATTCGGAACGAGCGGAAGCACGGAAATGAGGCCAGCGCTGCAGCGGGAGCACGATTCGGAACGAGCGGGGCCCGAAAATGAGGCCGGCGCCTCGGCGAGAGCAGCATGTTGGAAAAAACACAAGCGAAAACCCGTTTCCCGGGAATCCTGTGAGTAAAAAAACACTACGCGGGGGGGGGTCGGATATCTTCGGGACGCCATCAGGGGAAGTGGGAGAGTATTTCCATATTGTGTAATTGTAGAAGGAGGTGGAGGAGGACGAGGAGAATAGGGGCACGATCCTCGTGAAGAAGCAGCGCAAAACGGCGTGGAACAAGAGAGAATCACTCTCGCTGGAGCTGTAGCTGACATTCCCTGTGGGGCACGACTCTTATGAGGGGTACGGCGAAGTTGGCGTGGAACAAGAGACGCTCACCCTTGCTGGAGCTGCAGCTGGAGCTCCCTGTGCGACCCGATCCTCATTAGGGGTGCGCCGAGATGGGCGCGGAACCAGAGTGGGTCACCCTCGCTGGAGCTACAGTTGGAGCACCCTGTAGGGCGCGATCCTCGTG